TCACATCCAACAATATTGTGTTTCACTGGCCGTTTCTCTTCCAGACTTGTGTCTTTGTGTGACCTTTTCAACTTTCACCTGTCCTACAGTTCACCTTCTCAAGAAAATTCCTCTTCCCACACACACAAGCACAACCCCCTTCCTCACTCCATTTTGTTGTAAACACCAGTGGTATGTAAAGTGTTGCTGGGTCTCATTGACTCGTTTCTGTGTTGACCTGTTAATCTGAGCCTGAGGTGGAGGCTTGGCTCTGTATCTAGTCCAGGTCACAGCACTATATGGAGGGAGTGTAGAATATGCTGCAGTAAGGCTGAAAACTTAGATTTATACAGTTTTAACAGCATTTTAGTTAGTTCAAAAACATACAATATGAAAATAGAGAATTAAAAAGTTATATGACGCTATAAAGGTCAAGGAGCTTCTGCCATCAGTCAACTCTCAATAGATAGGACAACTGAGACAGGATCTGGAAAGATGAGATCTGGACCACATGGTTATTTTGAGAGCTTTAAATAACATGCAACATTTGTGTGTAAGTCTTTGTCATAGTAAGAAAAAGCAGGGATGGTCGTTTACTCATCTGATGTCCTGTGGGTACGAATGTCACATGCTGTTGGATTTGCTTTTGGTTTACTATAATGCACATTTTCGTTTCTCTTTTAACAGATTTCACCATTGAACTAGTAACTGCATTATCACCAGACTCCCTTGAAAAACTGCACAATTTTGAGTCCGTGAGGGGAAATTTTATAAACTCTAAAACGCTGTCTACAGCAAATTCCTATTTATGTGGGCCTTCTTGCAAATTTGGTAAAAGTTATACATTAACTTATTTCACTCTTTGTGTAAAAAACATTGCGTCTATTTGTCGGAAAGCAGGCCATATACACTTTCATAAAGCTTAGGACTGTCCCAGATTAAGTAATTTAGTACTAGTTATAGGGAAAATACAGTTGACACACTTCTAGTTGATGAATTCCAATTAATTGCTATGGCAACCTATTAAGTCTTTCAGTTAGTTGACAACATATATTAAGAATGTTTCCTATTCTAATTGAATAAAGTTGTTTTTAAATTTAAAAGGGTTTAATAGAAATTCCGCAGGAAAACAACTGCTCATCAACTCAGCACAACTAATGAAAATAAATGAAATAACGGAACTTTGTCTGTATATTTACTATAATTTGTGCCAAATTATAGTTTTTTTTCTGGGCAACTTAGGGAAAATTCTTAGAAAATTACAGATCTGAAAAATAAAGGGTTTCCTCAAATTCAAATATAAATGAAATAACTAGAAACACATTTTAACTGTAGAATGTAAATTTCAAATTAATTCACTTTGCTCCATTCTAAATTCTATTTCTAAAACCCCCAAATTCCTAAAAAAACACAAAGGACATGACCTCAGTGGTAGCTACAACCCTAGCTGGGTTTGTTTTTGAGTGGAGCATAGTTTCCTACAATGCAGCTCAATAGACAAGATGTGTCCATGTTCCCTTTTATACAGGCTGCCTGGTTGACATGTTAATCCTAGCCTTAGGTAAAGGGGTTGGGAGGCATCCGCAGGCTGAGGTTACACAGAGGTCAGCCTTTTACTTTCCCTTCATCCTATGGCTGCTGATTTTATAGCTATAACTGCTTTTTAGATCGTATTCTGTAACCATTTAGAGTGACTAAAAGTCAAACATTTAGGTTGACTGATGTGATGTTGATAACAAACTCATTTTGAGTATTTACATGAAAAGATTTGTGTGCTACTATGTTCCACGTAATTAGTAATTAAATGCATATGAAAAGTAATATTGTCTTTTTTTAAGTAGCCAGTTTAATAATTTGAAATTGGCTTTATGATCTAAGATAAGATAGACTTTATTGATCTCACATCGGGGAGATTTGCTTGAGTATGGAAAGTGGTACCCATGTAGACCACGTCCTGATGTACAAAAAATCCTCTTGTAGCCATATCCCAAACCCAACAGAAGTCGGCCATTTTCGATTTAGCGGCCATTTTTAGGGCCCGAGCACTGAACGTGCGAAGGCCCTATTGTAATTGAAGGAATTCTTTTTCTTTTTCTTTTTCTTTCTAAACAAACGCAT